AAGGTAAAGGTTTCCCTTGCTCAAAAGCTAGTCGAATGTGACTCTAGGGGGCAGTACTCACCTCCGTTTCCAAGCCAAAGAGTCAGTGCTGTCCAAAGACTTTTCCCATGGTCATGTGGCCAGCATGACTAAACACCGAGGTGCACGGAACACTGTTACCTTCCCACCGAAGCGGTACCTATTTATCCACTTGCAATTTCTTGCTTTCGAACTGCTAGGTTGTCAGGAGCTGGGGCCAGAGACAGAAGCTCACTCCGTCACGCGGCACTTCGGTCTCGAACTGCCGAGCTACCGATCTTCCAGTCTGCAGCTCCGCATCTTAACCTCTGAGCCACCGTGGCCCTCTCTTGGTAGGGAGTGGGAAGTAATTCATATTATGCATTCATATTGTGCACTTCTTTTTAATCCTGCCCTCCCTTCAAGGAGCTCAGGGGAGCTTCCATAGCATTCCTCTCCTCCTTTCCATCCTCAGAACCACCCGACAAGATAGGCAAGGCTGAGAGACAGCGACGGGACACGAATCACCCAGCAAAATGCCTAACAGAATGGTGATTTGAACCCGGGGCTCCCTGGCCCAAGCCTGGCCCTAACCACAACACCATGCTCACTCCTTTAGTTTCTGCATCCCATTTTAGCGGACTGACTGAGCGGGCACCACTCCATGATAATGGTGTCAGTCACCTGCTGTATCCTTGCTCATCTCCGTCACTCCCTTTTTCCGGCCGCATCAAACCGAGCACGCACAAGAGCCGTTTTTCCTCCAAGCCGCCGTCCGCAATCCCTAATTAAAATTATGAAAGGTGGGCGCGACTGTTGTCGGATGTGTAAAAGCCGACGTCTCCGACAGAACCACGAGCCGAAACACGATACCTGTACGAACAAGCGTAAAGCGAATCTTTAAGAATCGGTTTCAGTCTCCTCTCCTGATCCTCTTGGTCAGAATGAGCCAGACAGAAAGCTGCCAGCCACGCAGTTTGCACTCTGCCTGATCCATTGGGATTCTCCGGAGCCATTAGGCAGAGCTAGGGCTGGGCTGCTTGACCTATCAGAAAACGCTCAGCCAACTGACAGAGCAACTAGTAGTCCAATGTTTAAAGGACCGGAACAAAAATAGAGAGCTGCATGGAAACGCCAAGACACACGGAAACTCTTCACCCAAATCCGACTATGGGTCTGTCGAGGTCACCTGTGATTGCCAGCACGTCACCTCCTACCTGATGCCTTTGACAGGAGGTGGCGGGGATCGAACCTGGGGCCTTCGGCAGCCAAAGCAGATCCTCCACCACTGAGCCGTGGTCCCTCCCCGAGTTAGATTCCTAAAACTCTCAGGTTGGTTTACTGTTACAGAATGAAATAAAACTCTAAGCTATTGTGATCAGTTTGGGGAGGCGCTGGGGAGAGCGGTAAAGGATCTGCTTGGTGTGCAGAAGGTCCAGGGTTCAATCCCCGGCATCTCCAGTTTATAAAAGGACCAGGAGGTGATGAGAAAGACTTCTACCTGAGACCCTGGAGAGCCGCTGCCAGTCTGAGTAGACAGTCCTGACCTTGGCGCACCAATGGTTTGATTCAGTGTAAGGCCACTTCTCGTGTTTCAGTTTTACATGGGAAGGGACGTGGCTCAGTGGCAGAGCGTCTGCTGGGCATGCAGAAGGTCACAGGTTCGATCCTCAGCATCTCCACCTAAAAGGATCAGGCAGTAGGGGACGTGAAAGACCTCCGCCAGAGACCCAGGAGATCCATAGAGAGTAGCCATAGCTCAGTGGCAGAGCCTCTGCTTGGCATGCAGAGGGTCCCAGGTTCAATCCCCAGCATCTCCAGTTGAAAGAACCAGGCAGTAGGTGATGGGAAATACCTCTGCCTGAGACCCTGGAGAGCGGCTGCCAGTCAGAGTAGACAATACTGACCCTGATGAACTGAGGGTCTGATCCGGTAGAAGACAGCTTCATGGCTTCGTGTATTAGAGGAGATGGGCTGTGTCTCAACCCCTGGCATCTCCAGTTAAAAGGATCAGGCAGCAGGTGATGGGAAAGACCTCCGCCTGAGTCCCTGGAGAGCTGTAAAGAGGGGCTGTGGCTCAGTGGCAGAGCGTCTGCCTGGCATGCAGAAGGTCCCAGGTTCAATCCCCAGCATCCCCAGTTAAAAGGATGAGGCAGCAGGTGATGGGAAAGACCTCTTCCCGAGACCCTGGAGAGCTGTAAAGAGGGGCTGTGGCTCAGTGGTAGAGCCTCTGCTTGGCATGCAGAAGGCCCCAGGTTCAATCCCCAGAATCTCCAGTTAAAAGGACCAGGCAGGAGGTGATGGGAAAGACCTTGACCTGAGACCGTGGCTCAGTGGTAGAGCATCTGCTTGGCATGCAGAAGGTCCCAAGTTCAATCCCCGGCATCTCCAGTTGAAAGGACCAGGCAGGAGGTGATGGGAAAGACCTCCGCCTGAGTCCCTGGAGAGCAGCTGCCAGTCTGACTAGACAAGACTCTCCTTGATGGACCCGTGGTCCGATTCAGCAGAAGGCAGCTTTGTATGTGCATATGTACAATTATTACCGGGCGCTAGCAATGTTACACGACTATGAATGTCTCTACCTATCCCCTTCCTGTCCCTCCTTTCCTCCAAGGAGGTCGTTACACAGCTCTTCTCTTCTACTTCATCCTCAGAAACACCTTACAAATGCGCACCAGAAGATCCGACATGGGCGCAAATGCCCTATGGCTCTAAAGGGCACGATCAGACAACAACATCTGGGAAGTGCCCCGCAGCCGTCAGCAACCCGAGCTGCTCGGCCGCAGAAGCGGAGTCAAAAGACACCGGAGAAAATTCGGTGGTAAACGGGTTGCGACAGCCACGGACGGACTTTCCCCTGTCTGATCGCGGAAGCACGGTCTCAAGCCATCGGGATGGTCTGATCAGGCCATTCCGGCGTGGTGCCATTTCCCCCCCCCTCTTCGCAGTATGCGCATCATCGCATACCCACATAGGGGGTCCTCAGTGCGGAGATGCGATTCCTTGTTTACGCGTGTCATGCCTGCCCCTGATGATGACCCTGATGAGGCACCTGACAGCCAGGAGCACGTGGAATTGGCACCACAAACCCCTGAGGAACATACAGAAGCAGAGACTTACAGTCAGGAACTGGCTCCTGTAGCAGAAGAGTCTCTAAGTAACAAGGAGGATAGAGCCTCCCAGGAAACACCTGCACAGGATCAGGCTCTGCTTCATCCCAGTGATTCACCACCGGACTCACCGCAAGCTGTGACCAGACTCCGGAGTCAACGGAAGGAGCAATGTTACACGACTATGAATGTCTCTATCCCCTTCCTATCCCTCCTTTCCTCCAAGGAGGTCATTACACAGCTCTTCTCTTCTACATCATCCTCACAAACACCTTAGAAACGCGCACCAGAAGATCCGACATGGGCGCAAATGCCCAACGGATCTAAAGGGCGCGATCAGACAGCAACATCTGGGAAGCGCCCCGCAGCCATCGGCAACCCGAGCCGCTCGGCTGCAGAAGCGGAGTCTGAAACCCTTGTCGGTTTGATCCTCGGCTCTGAACTCTCGGCTCCTTGAAACTCTGCATCGTTGTCCCTGCTTTCGTCTCTGCGCTTATCTGGCTTTGTTGTGATTTATGGACCTTGACTAATGGTATGTCTGACACTGCATTTGGAACTTGATTTGGACTTGTTTGAACCGTGCTGCTTGCTTTACTCGGCTTGACCTCGGACTGAATTTGGACTTTGCCTGTTTGCCACCCGCCCCCTGGCCCTGCCGTGACAACGCGTATGGGAAACCAACGGCAACCCCCCCCCGACTCACCCGCAGTTGCGTCTGATCACACAGTGACAGGCTGAGCCCACAGCAACAAGGGGCTGTGGGATCTCTCAGCTGTGTGTCAAATTCCTCCGGAGGAAAAAGCCTCTCTTCCCCTCCGCTTCAACTGGCGCGTCTGACCGCAACCTAAGTTAGGCTGAGAGTAAGTTCGCCCAGCAAAGCATGATGGTTGAGCGGGGATTAGAACCGCCTCTCTCCTGTCCTTGCCTGACACCCTGCCCGCTACACCACGAAGCCAACGCCCTTCCAGAAGCCAAAACAGCATTAACAAACGTCGTTTCCAATGACGTTAAAGTAAACGAGTGGGAGTGGGAATTCAAAAGGCTGTCTGCAAATCCGCCGGGGCTATACAGTATCGAGTGAGCATCCCTGGGGGAGAAGTGGGCCTAAATCCAGCAACGCTTTGAGATAAATGAATCACACAATTAAAAAAGAAAGGTGGTCACACAGAGAAAGACATTCTTGATCCCAAATATGACTAAATTATCGGTTAACTCCGGGGTTCCCAACCTTTTTGAGCCTGTGGGCACCTTTTCAGTTCTGACACAGCTGCCACAAAATGGAGGAGGAGGAGGAGGAGGAGGAGGAGGAGATTGGATTTATACCCCACCCTTCACTACCCGAAGGAGTCTCAGAGCGGCTCACAAACTCCTTTCCCTCCCCCTCCCCACAACAGACACCCTGTGAGGTAGGCGGGGCTGAGAGAGTTCTTTTGAGCACTGCCCCTGAGAGAACAGCTCTGAGAGAACTTGTAACACCCAGGGTCACACCAGCAGCTGCATGTGGAGGCGTGGGGAATCAAACCCGGTTCTCCCAGATTAGAGTCCGCACTCCTAACCACTACTCCAAAATGGCTGCTGCTGGAGGCGGAGCCAGTCACAAAATGGCCACTACGGCTTACCTTCGGTCACACAAGGAAGGCTCCTGGGCTGTGGGGGCAGCTGCTGCCAAAGCTGCACTTTTAAAAATCTGCACAGGCAATCAAACCTCCAGCGGCCAATCAGAAGCCTTGCTGGGCAAAAGCCCCAACTGGCCCCTCCCACTTTCTAAAAACACTAAGTGGGCACCAGGAAAGGGGTCGGTGGGCCCCATGGTGCCCCTGGGTTAACTGGTAATATTGGATTCGCCAGTCGAACAGCGCCATGGATTTGCACCTTGAGTGTGAGCCTGACTACGTTGCAGTCCTGCAGAGGGTTCAGCTTCAGCGTCTCGCCGAGGTTGCTGCAGCCCGAGGTCTGGTGCTGTAGTTCGCAGCAGACGCAGACGCCGTCGCTATCGAATTTGATCTGAAAAAGAAAAAAAGAAGAGTGAAAAACTGGACGGGTGGTAGGCTGCAGGTTTTGGCGGCTCCGATCTTACCAAATTGTTTTTTTTTTAAAGAGCTTACTTTACTGCGTTACATATTTGTACAGCGCTTCCAGTGGGAGAACCCTTCCTTCAGCTGCCTGAAATGCCAACTCGGTCTGCGGTTTCTGTACCAAATGGGGTCACCAACCTCCAGGTGGTGGCTGGAGATCTCCTGGGGTTTCACAACTGATCTCCATGCAACAGAGATCAGTTTCCTTGGTGGGAAAAAATTGGCTGGGGAAATTGCCTGGAAGTGCAGAGGGATCACGGAACGACTTCTCTTTGTAGGAAGGAGCTGTGGTGGCTCAAGTGGTTAAGACGCTGAACTGCAGGCTGTGGAAGGCCGGTCGTTCAGCAGTTCAAGACCCGAACTGCCGCATGATGGAGTGAGCTCCCGTCTCTAGTTCCAGCTCCTGCCACCCTAGCAGTTCGAAAGCAAGAAATTGCAAGTAGATCAAAAGGTACCACTTCGGTGGGAAGGTAACAGCGTTCCGTGCGCCTTGGTGTTTAGTCGTGCCGGCCACATGACCACGGAAATGTCTTTGGACAGCACTGGCTCTTCGGCTTGGAAACTGAGATGAGCACCGCAACTCTAGAGTCTGATTCGACTGGCTTTCGAGCAAGGGAACCTTTACCTTTTAGCCGTTAGGGTTACTAACTCCAGGTGGAGAAATTTCTGGAGATTTGGGGGTGGAGCCAGGAGAGCCAGGTGTGGCTTGGAAAAGGGGGGTACCTCAGCAGAATATCGTGCCCTAGGATCCACCCTCCAACCTTGTTGAGCAGCCTTGTTTGACTTATATTCTGTCTTGCGTTTTGCTGTGGCTGGCCTTTTGTCCCTTGACCCAGTACGCGTCTCTGTTTCAGGTTTATTTCATAGCACATATGTTGAAAGCTCCACTTCCCTTCGATTGCGATATCGTATTGAACTTTCAAATAATCATCAGACAAATAAGCTTGCGTAAGTCTTTATTTATAGACAATTGTTAGAAATTGCTTTTTTCATGGCGTATTTTTTGTTTCCTTGGTACCGCCTGGAGGTTGGCAACCGTAGCCGTGATCCCCCTTAGCACGGGAGCCCTGCACTACGGAATAAGTTGGCGACGCGTCTGCCACGTTCAGGGCTCGTCAGATTCGGTGTCTGGAAGTCTCCTGCATCCCTAGATCGAGGAGCGGGATGTGAAATAAAAATCAATACCCGCCTCAGCTGGAAGGGGAGGGAAGACGCTATGAGGAAAATGCATTTCGGAGAGAGCTGTCAGCCGCGAGATCGGTTAGGCCTCGGCGGAACGACGGGCAGCCCCTTCCCCCAGACACGGCATGCTCTCTACCTGACACTCTTAATGTGAAATATAGATCCAAGGTCCACTCTAATCCCACACAAGTGGAAAGGATCACATAGCTGATGCTAGGAAACAAAACACGGCGGCCTCCAAAGAGGAGGAACCCCCTCCTCCCGGCCAGGGGTCATTTCCTGCAGGAGCTCCGGCAGTAAAGAGCCCAGGGGGCAGGCACCAGTGTTCCCTCTAAGCTGAGTTAGTGTGAGCTAGCTCACAGTTTTTTGGCCTCTGGCTCACACATTTTTGTCTCAGCTCAGGAAGGACAGCTCCAGAGCCAACTCATTTATGCAGCAGCCAAATCGCTTGCTCACAACTTTAATGCCGGAAGCTCATGAAGTAGAATTTTTGCTCACAAGGCTTAGAGGGAACATTGGCAGGCACATGCAACAAGCCCCACCCCCTGCTCCCAGCAGCCCTCAGTCAGAGCAAGAAGCAGCCAGGTAAGTTGCAGAGCTCCCCCCGGCCCAAAACAGTCCAGTGGCACCTTTAAGACAAAGTTTTATTGAGGTAGAAGCTCTCCCTCCTCTGCGAGGACAGATCTGCACGTCCCCCCCAATAGGTAGCAATCCAAAACAGTCCAGTGGCACCTTTAAGACCAAGTTTTATTCAGGTACAAGCTCTCCCTCCTCTGCGAGGGCAGATCTGCACGTCCCCCCCACAAAAAAGCTAGCAATCCAAAACAGTCCAGTGGAGCCTAAGCGGTGGGTGTCGCCTTCTGACACACTTCCGGTGATGTCAGGGGGTGTGGCCTATGCAAATCAGTTACGCGAATGTGTTACGCGAATGAGCTCCTGCACCTCTTTTCCTACGAAATGACCCCTGCTCTCGGCTACGTTTCTCGACTGATGGTCAAACGGGAGTTTTCCGACCCCAGCGTACGAAATAGGGTTGAAAACCTCCAGGCGGAGATCTTTTGGAATCACGGCTGAGCTGCAGATCCCAGAGATCCATTTCCCTGGAGAAAACTGCTGTTCTGGAGGGTGGACTCTATGGCATTATACCCCGCAGACGTCCCTCCCCTCTCCAAACCCCGCTCTCCCCAGGCTTCGACCCCCCAAATTTCCAGGTTTGTCCCAACCTGGAGCCGGAAACCCTACCAGGGACAGAGTTCCCTTTTAGAACATGGAGGGAGGGTCTTGCCAAGCATTCATTAGCCATGGACGGCTAAATGGAACCTCCACGTTCACGGGCAGGATACCCCTGTGGGCGGGGGTGATTAGTAGGAGAAGGCCGTTGCCCTCTTGTTCGGCCTGTGGGCTCCCTGACCAGCCGTGGCGGCCAATGAACTAGACAGCGCTTTGGTGTGAGCCCACTGCAGTGGAACGGCAACGATGCGTCTCCTCTGTCCAGCAAAGGGTGCTCCACAGGCCGTGTAGCGGTCAGAGTGCCGGACTAGGAACGTGGGGGACACAGATTCGAATCCCTGCCCTGCCACCAAAGTTCACTGGGTGACCTTGGCGGGTCAAACACTGTCAGGCAAACCTGCATCACAGGTAAAACAGAGTAGAGAGGAACAACATACCTCTCTGGGGAGAAGGACCGGGTAGACAGGAAACAGGTACATAAACACACGCAGGTACGGCCAGTAGCACTATATGTGTTTACATCCATCCATTTCCCCCAATGGGGACGTCCTCTCCTCTGTTCTATTGTTACCACAAACCCCGAGAGGTAGGTTAGGCTGAGAGTTTGTGATGGGCCCAAGGTCTCACCAAGCGGGCTTAGTCCAACCTACACAATTACAAAACATTCCAAAGACCACAGAGGCACTAAGCCTCTGAATCCCAGAGCCAGGAGACAACATCAGGGGAAGGCCTCGGCCTCTCTGCCCTGTTGTTGGCCCTGCAGAGGAACTCATTGGCCACCGTGTGACAAGGGATGCTGGACCAGATGGACCACTGGTCTGATCCAGGAGGGCTCTTCTGATGTTCTTATGAAGGCCTTGGCCTCTGTGCCTTGTTGTTGGCCCTCCAGAGGAACTGGTTGGCCACTTTGTGAGACGGGATGCTGGACTGCATGGACCACTGGTCTGAACCAGCAGGGCTCTTCTGATGTTCTTATGAAGGCCTCGGCCAGGAACTGGTTGACCTCTGAGTGAGGCAGGATGCTGGACTAGATGGACCCTCACTGGTCTGAACCAGCAGGGCTCTTCTGATGTTCTGTTGTTGGCCCTCCAGAGGAACTGGTTGGCCACTGTGTGAGACAGGATGCCGGACTTGATGGTCTGATCCAGCAGGGCTCTTCTTATGTTCTTAATGTTAACATCCACAAACCCAGGCACCTGAGTTCCACCCACAGAGCTACACAAAGTCCTGAACTGGATGGCCCAGGCTAGCCCGATTGCATCAGATCCTGGAAGCTAAGCAGGGTCAGCCCTGGTTGGTACTTGGATGGGAGACCACCAAGGAAGTCCAGGGTTGCTACGCAGAGGCAGGCAGCGGCAAACCACCTCTGTTTGTCGCTTGCCTCGAAAACCCTACGGGGCTGTCGTAAGTTGGCTGCGACTTGACTGCACTCACAGAGAGAACTATATTAAAAAAAACAACACACAGTTGCAGGAGGGCTGTCACGAAAGGGGGAGGAATGAAAGACCTGCCCTCGCGTCATTTGAACCCCGAACAGCCTACAGGCTGGGTTGCACGTGAAGTCCGCCCAAGGGAAAGGTGCTTTGTAAGACTCAAGAAGCATTCTGGGAAGCAGACCAAGTAACTGCAGCCTCCATCAAGTTTCTGCAATCAAAAATTAAAACCCAGAGGGACCCGTTCCTGCGGCAGAATGAGGCATCGCTGGCTACTGCATTTAAAAAAAAAAAAAGGCCGTGCACTGATTTCTAGCTCACGACGAGGCGTGAGAATTCTCAGCTGCAGGAGATCATTGCAAAGAAATCTCTCTCGGAGGCTGTATCCCTGTGCTAAAACGAACAAACACACCCCCGGCCGCTCTTACAACTCCCGGTCTGTAGAACGGTTTGTGCCGTTATAATTTATCGTAAAAGAAGCTTTTCTCCCCCCCCCAAAAAAGCATGAATTTCAGGACCTCAGCAGCCACTAACCCCCTTGGAAATATTTAACGGTTATATGAAAACTCCTTCCCCCCCCCCACACACACGGTAAAAATGAATAAACGAGAAAGAAAATACGCCAAGTAAAGACAAGCGCTTTATTGGATTTGTGCTTTGAGACCGCCGGCTTCTGCCAGCATTTATGAAGAACAAAATGAGATTTGGCTTATTGGCTCGGTTTGTTGTCTTCCTGTGCATCTATTTTAAGCAGCAGCGCGCAGGAGGGAGCTGGGGGAAATGGCCTCTTACTAGGCTTTCACTCAGCAATTTGTTTTCTAGAGAAGGATGTTACAAACACAGGCGCCGGTACCACAAACACAGGCCACTGTATCCCCCACCAGTTCACAAGTGACCACAAATAGACGTCTTCTTTGAAGAAGAGGAAGAGGAGGAAGAGGAGGAAGAGGAGGAAGAGGAGGAAGAGGAGGAGGAAGAAGAACAGTTGGAGGAAGAAGAAGAGGAGAAAGAAGAACAGGAGGAGGGGGAGAGAAGAAGAAGAGAAGAGATTGGATTTATACCCGGCCCTTCACTACCCTGAAGG